GATGACTGAATGCCTATGCAAGCTGCTGCTACTGCACAAGAGACTGAACTGCTGAGCTCCATTAATTAGGCATACAAGTAGCAAGGCGAATGGCTATTTTATTCTAACACGGTGTCTATGCCAGACGCGAGCAGCACAACATGACAAAGTCAATAGACCCGTTACGATAGGTAAAGCTGTCCGCAATGTATGCAGTGTGATACGGCCAACGCAACAAAACTTCTGCTACTGCTGCTATTGATCATATTCACTAACATTTCAATACCGAGTTGAAGTACATGCTGTTGCTGTTAATGATATTCACAATATTGTAGTAGGAATTTACTGTGCGAGCTGTTGCGGTTGTAATATTTAATCAGAATTTACGAAGCATAATCTACTGCTGCTGCACGAAACCTGCTGCAAGCCCTGTTGAATAAGCAAAGCAATAAATGCCTATTGCACTTTAAAGAGTTAATTTACCCTCCATGAGTTATCACTAAAATTTCATGCAACTAAAGCGCTTTTTGCTGCCGTTGCTATGTTAGCAACAATAATATGACTTGCTATGCATGCTGCTGCTAATATTATTTCTAACCTTGCATCTGAATTTGCTATGCATGCTATACAATTTGCTAACATTGCGATCTGAATAGCTATGCATATTGCTGCACAAAAATACTTAGAATTGCTACTGCCCCGTTTTAAATGAACAAACACAACCAATTAATGCTTATTTCGCTTTGAAGAATTCGAGTTATCACTAAAATTTCATGCAACTAAAGCGCTTTTTGCTGCCGTTGCTATGTTAGCAACAATAATATGACTTGCTATGCATGCTGCTGCTAATATTATTTCTAACCTTGCATCTGAATTTGCTATGCATGCTATAAAATTTGCTAACATGCAATCTGAATAGCTATGCATACTGTTGCAGAAAAGTACTTAGAATTGCTACTGCCCCTTAAATAACCTTAACACAACCAATTAATGCTTATTTCGCTTTGAAGAGTTCTATAAACCCTGTTGAACTGAATAGCAAAGTAATAAATTGCCTATTTCACCTAAAAGTTCACTACCATCTAAGCGTTATCTTATCACTGAAATGTCATGCAACTAAATGAAATTTGTGCTGCTGCTGCTATATTAGCAACAATAATTGGATTGCCATGCAGACTGCTGCTAATATTTCTAACATTGCATCTAAATTTTGCCATGCGTGCTGCTGCTATTAAAATTCACTAAACTATCGATCTGAATAACTATGCATACTGCTGCTATGCTGCACAAAAGTACTTAGAATTGCCATAAGCATCTTTATTAACAAGCAAACACAATCAAATAATGCCCATTTCGCTTTGAAGAGTGCACAAAATCTACTGTAAGTAGATTTAAGCCCTGTTAAATAAGCAAATAAATAAAATGCCTATTTCACTTTAAAGGGTTACTTACCCCATGCGTTATCACTGAAATTTCAAGCAACTGAAGTACTTTCTGCTGCCGCTGCTATATTAGCAACAATAATTTGACTTCCTGCTGCTAATATTATTTCTAACATTGCATATGAATTTGCTATGCGTGCTGCTGCTATTAAATTCGCTACCTGCGATCTGAATAACTATGCATACTGCTGCTACAGCTGCACAAAGGTACTTAGAATTGCTATAAGACCCTTTTAAATAAACAAACACAAATGATGCCTATTCGCTTGAGTTCACATACCATCCATTTTTAGTCACTGAAACTTCAGCAATTGTAAGTCGCTTTGGATAAAAGCATCTGCAAAATGAATAAACGTAAATATAAACTATGGTCTACCTACTGCTAGCACAACTAAACGCATAATTTGATTTGCTATGCATACTGCTATTAACAATTCGCTAATAACACAATCTGAATTCTATGATACTGCTGCTACACTCCATGAAAATACCATAATTGCTTTAAGCCCAACTGAATACACAAATAGTAAATTCCAGTTTAAGAGTGTCCTACTATTAGCTTAATTGAACATGGTCTACTGATTGGAAATTATTATTAGTAGTAGTATCTTTATATTTTAAACGAATTAGGGAGATATCTCCTGTAAGCATCTGTCTTTCAAGACAGCTCTGCTCCTGGCCTTGGCTTCCGCCAAACATGTCAGTGATTTGCACGGGCTCTCTGTTCATCCCTCGTGCACTAATTCTCTTGCAGTAACTAAGGCCTAACCCGGCCTTTATGCCAGAGTGCTTCCCAGCTTTCACGTGTAAAGTGTTTGAGCTTCTGCTTTTCATCCTCCTCTGCGGAGGATCAGAGGCTAAATGCGGGGACCAGCTGACAGGACCAGCCCTTTCAGGAGGAGTGATCTGCTCTTCAACTAATGGGCCCCCTGAACATGGGGAAAATCCATTTCTAAGTAATGCCTCTCTCATTGGTTCGTGGAAGCCATCTCTCTGGCATATGAATCAAATGGAGTGCGGCCATGTGGGCCTCATCGAGTGCAATTCACTAGGGACATAGTGGCCTTGCCAGCTCCATTTAAAGGGGTTTCCTTGCAGGACATTTGTGCCGCTGCAAGCTGGGCCTCTCTACACACATTTGTCAAATACTACCGGCTTGATGTTACCTGCACCCCGGTAGCTTACTCTGTTTTAGGTGTGGGCTCTTTGTAGCCTTGTGCCCTTAGACCCTTTACACCTTTTTAAGCCTGGGTTGTCCAGCCCGGCTTATTCATCTCATTAAGCAGGTCATCTGTACCCTCCCCTGACACATTATTATATTTGTATATGTATGTATGTATATGTCAATATATACATATGTATATTTCTATAATATATGCCTTGGCATTATGTTGTTAGGTCTAGTATGCATGTTACCACATGTCATTTCTTACATGGCCGGTATTGCATTCTCACTTTGTGTAGGGTCAGGTACTTGGTGACGTGTCGAGCACCGCCTTGCCAGGTGACCGTCCTTTGGCTTACAGGGCCTCGCTGTGAGTATACTGGACAACTGGGGAGTTGTCCATATCTCCCATAGGTGGATCTCGAACACGAGATGATGAAAGAGAACAATAGGTTACGGTTCGTAACCCTGGTTCTCCAAAACATCGAGTGGAGAGATCCACCAAGTTTGCCCCACTTGCTGCACGAGAAGTGAATATGCTCACTGAGGAAAGGTATCGCGTGCAGGGGCTATATACGCTTGGTTAAGGGGCGTCCCCTTACCTGCCATTGGGCACGCGCACGCAGCTAGGCAAGAAAACATACAATCTACCTGAGGGATGACTTCTTTCACAATTTCACAGGCCAGTGGTTTGTGTGTAAAATTCCTTTTAGAATAATTGTACATAAATACGTTAAGCAAACAAATGAGATTTTTTCTGAGAACCTTTTATACACCTTTTATATACTTAACTGCAGACATGGAGATGATGCACAGGATGTGGTACAGTACAAATATTTTGAGCATCCCTTATTCTGTCCCTTATTTTCCTATAAAGAATCACAATTAACCCTTATTTTCCTTTATGACATGCCTAGTTATATTGTTAGGAAAAGTTTAAATTGTGTGAATTTTTAACTACTGTTTTAACTACTTGGTCTGTAATTAATTACTTCTTAAATAAAAAAAAAAGAGCAAAACACTCTTTGTGGTGAAAGGAGCATTGCGATAAGACGATCTTGAGGCTTACTACTGAGTAATTTTAACATTCACAACATGCAAACATCAATAAAACTATTAAAGTTATTAAAAACAATCAACATGTAGCAAGAAACACAACAAACTAGTTTTGTATCCGATTTAGTTTGTAGGCACTGCACTTTGCTTTTGCAATAGTGGTGTAGTTGTTTAAGGTCATCCAAAGGCAGAGTGCAGTATCTGCATTTTGGTGGTCAAAGCTCACATCAGTGGTCATGGTTTTTATCTATAAAAAATTTCATCCTAAGGCTTTAAAAGAATGCATTGCCACTAATCTACCCACAATATGTTTGACTGGCTGATGTAAAAACTTTAAAGGCATTTTTCTCAGTTTCAGTGTTTGCGTAGTTACTGCACTTTGCCTTTGTAGGGCAGTATATATTTATGCTGGAGTTTTGACCTCTTTGGATACCTACCTCAAAATTCAATGGAAGAGAGAAAAAAGGCTATTGTAAACAAAAACTGCCATACCAGAGAGTTGGTAATCTTCATATTATGTGCACTGCAAACTCTTTTTATAGGCTGTAATACGGTTATATATGAAGAATTTCACATTCTTCCAGTCCCGGTTCTTTAGAGCTCCTGGTTCAGCCTTTAAACACTTCTCACAGTCACTCTTTCCTGGTACAGTAAAAGATGTGATGAATCGCATCATGTGCCTTTCCACCGCCTGCACCTCTGTCTGCTGCCAGGGATTTTTCTTATGGGTAGTTTGACCTTAAAGCGGTGAAAAAAAATTAACAAGATAAATGAGGGTGTGTGCTGGAATTCCGATCCAAAGTTATGAATCTTATAACAGTATTTATATGATCAGCATATTATTTCAAATGACAGTAAAGTTACTTGAAGTTGAGCTGCTTCTACAGTATGAGTAATGTAAGTTTTTACTATGCATCTATTCACTCAATAACTGCTCTAGGGGTTAGTTATTGGTGATGATTTCATTATTAAAACAGCCAAAGTTACTAGTCCATTTAAAGTACCTAGTAGATTTTAGCAACAACCAAGTAACCTTAACAACTACAGATGGGTTTCTGAGCACTGTAATCTTGATCAAAATCAGCATTTAGGCCTGGTTTCACAGACAGGGCTTAGACTAAGCCAGGATTAGGCCATAGCTCAATTAGGACATTTAAGTAATTTTTATTAACGTGCTTAGAAAAAAACATTACTGGTGTGCTTTTTGAGACAAAACAAAGGCACTGATATATTTTAAGATCAGTCAGTGCAAGTTTCTTTCAGTTGAAACAGCTCAGACTTACATTTTAGTCTAGGACTAGTTTTAAGCCTTGTCTGTGAAACCAGGGGTTAGTGATTTAGGGCCTCGTGTATAAAACTTTGCATAGATTTCATCCTTAAAATCAGATTTTGTTCAAGGGATGTCAATCCCATAATCAATCGTAATTTAAATTAATTATCAATTAATCGTTACCCTTCATACTGCCAGATGGCATATAGTCACCGGCATGACAGGATGTGCAAATGCCACACAAAACTCGCTGTTTTCAAATGGTATCATGATGCTCGTTGTAGTACTGTATTTTAAAACACAATCACAACATTTGCAATTAACATTATCGCCATCTAAAGTAAAATGATCGCAAACGTAACTATGCCGCAAATTAATAATTTGTTCCCACAACATATTAATTTGTTTCCTTATTTCCCCTATTTGTTCCCACAATTCAAGAGTGATAATGAAGTGGCTTGGAAATCATTACATTAAAATTCTGGATTCATGGCCAGGTAACTCCCCGGATCTTAATCCAATGGAGAACCTATGGTCAATCCTCAAAAGCCGAGTGGACAAGCAGAAGCCCACAAATTGTGATCAACTCCATACACTAAGGCAAGAATGGAAAGCCTTCAGTAAGGATTTGACCCAGAAACTGATATCCAGAAGCGAATTACAGAGGCCATGAAGGGTCAACATTGTAAATATTGACTCTTTGCATATTTAGCATAGTTCAATGGCCATTTCACAAGTTTTATGTGCTGTCCAAGGAGAGGACTCTGAGCTGAGAATATGGCCTGAACTTAAGAGTACTCCCCCATATCCCAGGCTGGGACAGAAATAGTCAAGATTGAGGAGTTGGGGTGGTCGAGAGATACCGGAAAACTGCCGTAGGGACAGAGGTGAGCTGGCTATATATAATAGGTCTCCTCTCATGCTAATTGGGTAGATTATCTGAACGTGCTCCTCTAGAATTTGTTAAATTAACATCATTTTGTGACTATGCAATGTTTATATATCAGGCCACTGGCCTGAGGCATGGAAATTGGGAATATTCTTGGAATGGGCTATTCCTGCTACTGCAACATTTGGCCCTTTCTAGTTTAATTTGTAGACTGACAGTGCATCTTCAAAAAGCAGCAGACATAAACATTACTGACATAAAAATGTGTAGAGAGTTCACCTTGAAAACAAGGCCTCACAGCACTGGGTCCTGAAGGTGGTGATGGGGATGGTGGTTTTTGTCTTTTGGGTGGTGGTGGCATGTCATTCCTCTCGGCAGGAGGAAGTGCCTCCTCTGCTATTGGTTCTATGGAAAATTATAAAAATATTATCAATTCAATATTTTCAGAAAGATATACTTTACGTGTACTATACAAGGCAGACAATACACTTTAATACACTGTATACACAATACACTTACATAAAACTTATGTAATTTGCAGTACTAATGGCTTTAAAATATAATTAGTGCATAAACATGCAATAAACCATAAAGTGTGCATTTCTGTACATCATTGCAAGTATAATTGAACCACATAATATTCAATTAATGAATGGGGAATCTTTCATGTTATTTTTATTTTCTCTTGACTGATATTGCTCATGAAGTTTACTTTTAAAGGGGTCATATGATGCTGCTAAAAAGAACATTATTTTGTGTAGTTGGTGTAATGAAATGTGTTTTTGCGGTTTAAGGTTCAAAAAACTTATTTTCCACATACTGTACATCGGGGATGGGCAACTGGCGGCCCGCAGTGTCTTTTAGTACGGCCCGCTGGATCATATTAGACTCGGATGATCAATTTTAAAGGGGTCATATGATGCTTTTTTAAAGATCATTATTTTGTGTATTTGGTGTAACAGAATATGTTGACATGCTTTAAATTTTTACCAAGTTCAAGGGGATACCCGGTTTGGATTGTTTGGAAATCTGTATTTTATTTAAATTGCCATTTACCGGGGAAACCACTAGATGCGCAGTTCCGAAAGTGAAACCTGCAGGCAGAGAACGAATTTGCTTTTTCAATAAGCCCATCTTCTATTTTTGCTACATATTTTTAAATGTGAACCAGTGGATCGACAAAAAGCTAATGCATTATAAAAATCAAAAAAATTAAGACACTAAGATATATTTATATGTTATTTAATATAATAATTAATTGATAATTGTTTAAATTAATATAATAATTGATACTTTTGACTCATCCCTTTACAGCGTCTCCCTGACATGGCTGCATTAACACTACTGCTGTTCCTGAAACCACGCTTTCTTTCTTTGCGTGCACATTTGGGCGGCATTATGCTAATATTTCCACATAGTGATGTAGATATGTGGGGGCGTGTTAGAATGAGCCGTTTTAGGTAGGCGTGGCTGACTCTTAACTTTTATAAAGAATATCTCTTTGGATTTGAGACTTTAGACTTTGCAACTTTACAGATCTTCTTTATGCACCAAGAGCTTGTAATACTCCAAAGAGAAAGGAAAAATTGAAATCGCATCATATGACCCCTTTAACTGTGAAGCCTGCTCAGGAAAAGTGTTTGATAGTAATACAAACCATAAACAGTAGATGAACAGTGTCCCTCTTGTATTATCCGGTCTTCATCACTTTCCAGAACTTTTTCTGTTGAGGCCAAACAAAGTACAACTTAACAATGTGATTTAGCAGAAAGGAATATATGGTAAACACAGAACAAGAAAACAAAGAAAAAAAAAATCAACAAACACACCATCAGGATCAATCACAATTTCATCCAAGTTCTTGCCATGGAACACAGCTAATCTTCCTTGTTCGAGAGCCATTAGAACTTTGCAGATCTTGGCGAGTTGCAGGGTCTTCTCAGGGAGTCGGCAGAATTCACGATGAATTTTTATATCATGTCCAAGAAAGTTTGCAAGCTGGTCCATCTCCGTTTCTGTCATATTCAGCACTGTTGAAAGGACTGCAGCATGCTTTCGCAGTCTGGTAGATGTCAGTGATTTGGGACACTTTGCACCACATGCTTTTGCAAAGCCACGGAGGCAGTCTGACCCTCGGAAATGTGTCATGGCTTCTGGTCTTGCAAACATGTAACCATTGTCTTTTAGAACCCCACAAGGCTCTCTCTGCTTAACAAGGAGTTCTAAGGAACACAGCATTTTTGGAGTCAGAAGAATTGGAACTGGTTGACCACACTTTCCCATGGTGATAATCCTTGAGAAGTGTCTGCAGAGTTTTTTTTCTACTTCGGACAGTGCCCAGTCCACACCGTCATGTGGATCAGAAGTGTCTCTTGAAAAAAACTCAGACAATGGCATGCTCGCCACCTCTCCTCCCCTGCGCCGGTTAAAGAGAATTATCTGGGCTAGACAAACCTTTGCCAGCGCCATCCAGGCTTTAGTAGAGGAACTTTCAGAGAGTGATTTGTACCACTCATCTTGCACTTGACAGAGATATGTGTGCATTTTTTGGACATCTTCAGTAAAGGGCATGAGAGCGGGCACATTCCACTTTGCTTCCCTAATATTCCTCAATGCTGTGTCTAAGATCATTTCGTTCCACTTTTCCTGATGGACGTCTTGAAACTCACTGGCATTCTTCGCTCGCTGTTTGTCATTTGACAATAAGCCCTGAGCTTTTAAGAGTTTGCTTACTTGAAGCAGAGAATTCCCAAGCTTCTTTGCAAGTGATGGAATCATAAACTTGTCAGATTCATACCCACATGTATACTTGACAGCTTTGACAGTCTCCATGTACTTCTTTGGATTCACACAATCTTCCATTGTTTTTAAGGAGGTGACTCTCCTAGCATTGTGAACCAACCTTCCCAATTCTCGCATCTTGTCTCGCACACACCGTTTATTCTTGGCTGATAGCCCACCTATGTTTAACAAATGCTGACCAATATCAATAATTACTTTGTCTTTTTTTATTATATCTGTGATTGGGTCAAGATTCATGCCACTAATTACTTCCCATAGTTGTTTAGTCATGTTTGAAGGCACAGGCCCTGTGTATATACACATCGACTGAACACGTTTTTTTCCTGGTTTGAGGGGGACCGATTGAGGTTGAAGTATACAAGTGCGCATATGTCGCCACAGGACCTTTCTTGCAAAAAGTCCTTGACAGTATGCACAATGCATGAAATCTTTTCCCTGCGCTTCTTTGGATGGCCGTTTATATGGCACTAGTTCCCCCTTTCCTGATTCCATAACAGCAGCATTGTGAACATAGTTTCCTCTGTTGCGAATATAATCTAGCTGTTTTTTTCTCTCCTTGGAACTCTTTGGAAAGCTTAGCGCTTTAGCCACATCGGATTCATTTGCATGTGAACTTTCTAGATGCCTTGCCATCTTAGCATAAGGCTTACAGCAATACAAGCAGTAATGTCTCTTGTTGTACACTCTACTAACACCTCTTTTTTGGTAAGCGCTAACAACTACGCCATCTATTGCATTCTGACTTGAACATGGTTCTTCTGTTCCAGATGCTTCAGATGCAAGGCTGTGCCTTTTTTCTGGTGTTGCTGTGTCACAGTCAAGGGAACTCAGTGAGCCAGAATCATCAACATCCAGTTCATCATAAAGAAGCTGAAGTTTTGTCTGGTTTGGTATAAGATTAGCATCACTGTCAAAGTCACTTTCAGAAGTGGTGTCTGTAAAGTAATCATCTGAACTCTCTGGTGTAGAATCAAAAAGTTCAACAGAATCTTCAAGATCTTTGTCTTTCATCTAAAACGATAATGATTAGAAATGTCACAGTTAATTAATTGATCAGTAATTTAACAGACGCTGTGTGATAATTCATTGTTCAGGTACATTAATTAAAAACCAATTAAATGCTTTTGGGCTTAAATAAAGGTGATTCAAAATTCTTGAAAGTGATGATCTTTGATCTTTTGAAGTCCAAATGATTTATCACCTAAGAATATATTAATATTTTATAGTAGCATACATAATAATAATAATTATATTATATAATATTAGATATTACATAATTCACTGAGTAATTAATGATGAGAATCAATTTGAGATTTTTTAGCTCTAAGCAAAAGCCCTGTTCAATACAAAATGACTTTTGTTGCGACTTCAACTTACTATTATACTTTTAGTCTGTCTCAGTCTTGGTACAAAAATCTCATTTTCATTTTGGAGCTGTGTCACAATCTGTAAACAAAAAGCAAAAGTATAAACAACACTTTACATTATTACGGTATTTGAAATTTAAAAATATACATTTGTTTAGGTTAAATATGCTTGAAAAAACACTTAAACATGACAATGAGAGAGAGTGGATTTCTAAATCTTTAGTGATAAATGTGAACATACTTGTTGAGGAGAGTTATTTTGACCAGTAGCATCACTGATCCGAGTCTGTGACCTGGGGGAAGGATCAGAGTCACCTTCTGCCTTGGTATTAGCAGCAATGCTGGTCGTCTGTAAAAGACAATGGGGAAACACAGGAGATAAATATGATGTAGATGCTGCATGACGTCCGAATAAAAATCAACTTCATTTTAAAACCTGTGAATGATAAAACTGGCCCTAAATATAAGACTACCACTAATGTGTTGCAACAATACAAGCTATTCTGAACACAGTGTGCTGTGCAACATACTTGTGTTCTCCATGGGTAGTCTTCTCCTCCATAATCATATGTAATTTCTTCTCCTTCTTTAATGTCATTCAGGGCAAACAAACAAAGGTGTATCTTTCCATTCACATCAATTTTCTTCATCTCACAGTTTGGATGTTTGTGGTCATCATTAACTATCCGCCCAAACGATCCATCTTCTCTAGAGGCATCAATACTTAATATGAAAACAAGAAAAGGATAAATACATGATTTATAATACATCATCACAAATCAGTGCCTCATTTACTATAATACAGCATAAAAATATAGCTTTGGTGCAACTTGACTTCTTACCTCCATGTTTTCCCTCTCCACTTAAACTCAAATATAAATGCAGCACTGGATGTGTGGTAACGTTTTCTTCTGCTCTGCAACTCTGCATCATTTATTATATCTCCCCTATATTCAACAACAAATTCACCTTTGCAAATGGAACCCTTTGCAAATAGACCATGCCCTGCAAAACACATCAAAAACATTTTCAAAAAAAACAAAAACAAAAACAGGAAAACCTATAGATCTAAAACATCATCAACTAGTCTATGAAAATACATGCTACAAAATTTTTAAAAAGCATCTTGCAGAAAGGATACCAACAATTACACACACACTAAAAAAGACATCAACAGTTGGTAGCTGATTAAAAATATTCTGCAACCAGGTGCCTATTTAATGCACATATGACAGTTATTAACCAATAAATCACACCAGACACCACCTTACCTTTCACTGCATTGATATACTTCACCTCTAATTTGAATGTTTTGTCAGTCTTTGAAACAATATGATGCATGACATCCTTAAGGGAGCTGATTCGTGATGACTGCAAGAAAAAAAAAGTGTGAAACTGTGAACTACTGTGAAAATAGGGGGACATGAAGAATAAAACTAGAATGTTCAATAAGCAGATAAGAATGCTCTTGTAATGTAACACTGTTCTGTATAATAGTTATGTAACATTAATTATAATGTTATCATAATGCATCGATGAAACACAAGAAATCAGAAATAAGGTTCAGTTAAATATCTGACACAATGCTAGCCTTGAGGGCATCAACACAAACTCATTATTTTCATATAATCCCAGGTAGCCTTGGGCAATTATTTAACTACTTATTTGAACCTTATCCCAACTGCTCTATTGGACAATCTCACCACACAAACCCATGTTTATCTGAACCACTGTCATAACATTTAATCATTCATAATTTTAAAAGTTTAATCATTTTGTCATTCAAAGCTACTCACCAATTCATTGTTTTTGTTTTCCCCCCCCAAATTTTACTTAATTTCTTTGTGAAGCACTTAGGTTAAGATCTGTGGCTTGTATATGTCGTCTATAAATTCACTTAAATGTAAAAACAAATATTGATCTTCAAGTCTACATATAATCCACACCCCCCTCGGAATGCCCTGTCAAGAAATATAAAATAAGAATTTTTTTTAAAATAATTGTCATATTTAATGTATTACATATTATTAATGTATTGTATGTATTAATGTATTAAAACTTTAAAAGTTAAATGTTAAAATTTCTTTATATAAAATAACCCACCCCTGCCCCCTTCCAGTACTAACGCTAACTAGACAAAAAAAAAAACACAGACTAATATTAACAGAATCACTCCATTAGCAGCCATTCAGGCTAAATATTTGACAAGACTCTTCAGTTAAAATTATGATTGTGCGATCGCTAGTTGGAAAAACATAGAAACATTTCATGTCTCACAACAGTTAATTAGTGCTAACTAGCTACCTATTTATATCTAATTAACCTCATTGGTTGGATACATATATGCTTACCTTGTGTTTCACTTTTTATCCTCTGCAAAAGTTCTTAGATCCTTAGTTGGCATCTCCTGCAAATAATCTTCTTCCTTGTTCTCCGTATGTAGTGTCAATTTAACACTTACATTTTCATTTTTCTGCTGAAATTCTTGCTAACGAGGACTAGGAAGTGGGTTGTACCCAAACATATTTGGAATATTTGTGTGTGTGAAGAAGTGACTGCATTATGAGCCAGAATTGTTTTGGGGTGCAACTGAGCACCCCTTACACACACACACCTCTACTGATAAATGTGTAATGGACCAATGTAAAAAAAAAACTTCACCAGCAACTTCAGAATAGCTCCTCTATTCATTTAAATGGGTTTACCTTATGGAGACCTGATTTTTGGTCCCCATGATGTAACCGTAAACAGATTTTTGTCCCCACACTGTGACGATCATCAGAACACACAAACACATACACCTGCAAACACACAAAACCAAAACTTACCATGTCTGATTCCCAGTCCTCATTTGTGTTTGTAGATTTTTCCTCATTCCAGTCCTCCGTCTACAGTTGGAGACAACAATCAAACTACATAAAACTACATTTAAATGATCACTTTTGTGAAATGTGTCATTAGGGGGTTCTAAAGACCTGTACGGTTTGGCTTTGTGTTTCATTGCTGGGGATAAAACTGCTGTAATTTTGCGCTTCAGCATATTGATTTAATACTGCTGGGACGCTGCTCTCAGTGGACCAGGGCCCGGATGATAGGCTCCATGGAGAAGGACCCGGAGGAATCACAGCAGAAACGGGATCCCTGTCAAGAGAACGGGGACAGTCGTGTTGCTGAATCATTTTAAGTAGAAACAATTCAAAATTCTAACGTTACCTTTTGTACTTACTGAATTAAGTCTTCATCTAAAGCCGAACTCCACTCGGTGTGTTTTTCACTTTCCATTGACAGGCAAACTCAGCGACACAAGACTCCGGATCTGAGATACAATATTGAGGATTTTATACCTAAGCCGCAGTATATTCATGAACGCGTCTTAATATATACCCACGATGCACTGGTTTTAAATCATTTTCACAGTGAAATATGAGCGCCAAAAGCAGAGTTAACAATAGCGCACAGAAATTAACCAAAACTTACACTAAACATTCAAAGAGTTGGTCTTGATGGTCAAATGACATACAGTATACTCATTGTATACAGTATGTAATCTAAATAAATTAAATGAATAATGATCTTTTTTTAAAAACGAAAAGAACAGACAACTGTCGCAACCTCCATGACATCATCTAAACCTGTTTTACTTCCGGGACGTCAAGTGACGGCGCACGCGTTCTTCTTCTTCTTCTACTTCTGGCGTTTCATGAAGGTATGTAGGTTTCCACCACCTACAGGGCTGGAGTGTGGAACATTGACTAAATCCTATTAAATAGACCTACTTTTCTTGAAATATCTCATTAATGTGTTATATATTTTATGATGATTCAATTCATTACATAGTAGGCTAGTGTTTTAAGTGTAAGATTTCCTATGCCCATTTTTCTTCATTCTTCCAACAACTGTGAACCCTTTCCCTTTCGTACGCAGAACAAAACAGTTTCTGTTGACTTACTACAATTCCTGCAAATAAGAAGATTTACAAATCATTTTAAGAAATTAATTTTAAGTCAGTAGCCAAATAAGCAGTATGTTCCCATAGGATGGATTTGACTCCCCTCCAAGATACCTTGAAAGATATACTTTTGGAAAGGACTCATACCAGCAAAATGAAGTCCCCATAATATGCCCAGAGCATGATCAGAATGAGGACAAGTGTTCTTAACTATGCTCGCGGTCAGGAAAACTGACTGAAAACTGTTTGCTCAAATGCATGTCAATGAGTGGAGAAATATTTCTCTAGTGTATGCAAATGAGCAGGGACTACCAATGGGAGTGCAGATTGTGATCTGCCCGATACAGTCTGAAAGATAGGGAGAGAAGGAACACATTCTAGAAACCAATGGCACATTTAGCTTCTGCTTTATCTGACATTTTGCAGATTGTGTAACATTAATTTGATCATGATCATCAAGTTATAGTTACCTTTTCGAGTTAATGCTTCCCACTACTTCCTGTTTCTGTCTAGTCAGAGACTGCACTGCTGTTTGTATATCCAAGCACACCATCATCAAGGGATGTGGGGAAGCATGGTCTGACTATAGACGGAAAAGGAAGTGCAGAAGAGAAAGAAAACCAGCATCACAACTATTTTTTTCAACCTCAGAGAGTGTGATATATGATTCTAACAACTATGTGCATGTGCAATTACTAAAGTGCTTGCGAGTGTGATGGAGCTGCAGCAGCGTTTTTCTGTGTCCGTGAATGATTATGAAGAAAGTGAAGGAAATGCAGAGAAGAGGAAGATGCAGAAAAATTATGATGTTAGAACAGAAGATCTTTATCAAAGTCTTCAGTTCCCAGCTACTGCACACCATGGAACTATTAACAGTACAACACTGCTCTCAGGTAAGGCAACAGAGGATGGATAAATGGATGGAAAAAAAAACTTTTAATGTAATTTACAGTTAGTGCAATCTTATTAATCTCTAATAATCTCTGTTTAACAGAAAGAAAGTATGTGTTTTTACTGTTTGCTGTGAACATTCTTATCTCAGCCATCATCCTTGTCATTGTGGGTCTAAATTGTAAGTATCATGGCACAGTATTTGAAATTCATTGAGGCACTAAATAATAATCTAGAAAAAAAATGTGTCAGTAAAATATTTCACATTTCTGAATATCATGTTTTCCCCCTAGACTCTCACAACAGAGAAACACAACCAATAAAAGGACAAAAAGGTTCATTTTAATTTTTACTTACTGGTGTAAAAAATGTACTTACTGGATATAAACTGATTCAAACTGATTCACACATACTTCATTATTAGATTAACTCCAGTGTGTTACATTTCTATCTTAAATCAAAAAACTGTAAAAATGGGTTTCTTGTGTGTATGTGTGTTTTTTATTACTGTCAACTAACAAACTATTCTATATTTCATACTTACTATTCTTTGATATCTTTCAGAAATGTGGCTTCTCCATGACAATGTGTTTTATTTGTTCTGGAGTGACCACAGTGATTGCCGTGCTGCTGAGAGCTTCTGTTCTAAGAGAAATGCCAGTCTGGCCATTTTAACTGAGCATAACAAGGTGCAGCAGCTATTCATACACTTTCCTCTCTTTCTCCTTTAAATGTGAACACATCGTTGAATGTATATGTGTACATGGGCAGGTCTGGTTGATATCTAGAACCAATGGAAAGCAATTTTTGCTCTCAAGAGCCTCATCAGATGGATCTGGATACACTGCTTCTCCATCAATGGTAATGCATTTGAAATTTTTGGTTTTATTTAAAAATTTTGTTTTCATATTTGTGAAAGATTTTTCTGAACAATTATCAAAATTGAAAAAGTTTTTTAAAGCTGTTGGAAGTTTGTAAAACTGAGAGCTTGAAAAACAATTTTTAAAATACTTTATATATGAATGACTACATGACCAAAACGGATGACTGTTTTACACAAAACTGTGAGAACAGTGAGAAATTATGTTAGAAAGTGTGTGATCTATGGTTTGTGTGTGAGACAGTGGGGAAAAAGTGGGGGAAAAAATATTGAAACATTTTTTTTAAAGTAGGACTTATTAAAGCAAAAAAGTATTATTGTCTTACATGAATCTAATATGAATTATAGGTGTTTTAATTCACATTCTAAGAACATTTTATTACATTTCTAAAAAAAAAAAAAAAAAAATTCTGGTTGTGCCTCAGGATGATGAAGATCATGAGTGTGGCATCATGACTGATGATGTTGACACAGACCATGGAGAAGGATTTGTGTGTGAGAGGAGAGTGAATCCCATAGTCTAAAATTGTGCAGACTTTGGCATCTTTTGAAGCTGTAATGGATGTAGCCTACTGGACAGCTACTTGGCCCAAAGTTCAGCTTCCAGACAGCATGCATATGTGTTGTACTTCATTTATCTTGTTTTATTTTATTAAAACTCTTCTCTGTAACTAGACAGAATAGCTGTATTGTCTCCAGAAGTTCCAGATAAGAGGTTGTGTCCCTTCAAGGCTTTCAATGACATTTTTAAAAAGCGATAATTTTCTATTCTCTTTTTCTTGTTTTAAGAACACTTGATGATTTTGCTTCTAGGCAGATGGAATCAGGGAGATCTTTGGAGATGTCTAAGGTTATTCAATAAGTACATGTAAATAAATTAGCTAATTTCTTATGGTGGGCATAAGCCTATAAGAATATAGCCTATATTGCATTTTTTTTTCTTTAGCCACTATATGAATTACTTGATGATATGGTGGTGAAAACCGTGTCCAAAGGAGAGTATAGAATGTAAAGCATGAGAACCGAGCCACTGTTTTGATAGGCTACTCAAAATATCTTAGCAGGGGTGGCACTTATTTTTAGTCAACACAACCACAAGCGATAGCTACTGAGCATCACAACTAATTTTTCAACCTCAGATCACGTGATGTGTGATTCTGTGCATGTGTGCCATTACTTCAGTGCTTGTGAGTGTGATGGAGCTGCAGCAGCGTTTTCCTGTGTCTATGAATGAATATGAAGAGAGTGAGACGACGCAGATGAGAGGTGCTTCTCAAACAGAAGATGTTTATCAGTGTCTTCAGTACAGACCTCCTGCAGCCCAAGGAACTATTAAAGGCAGAGTAAGTGATTTCTGGTAGCCAATGTTGATACAACACTGCTCTCAAGTAAGACAACATGGGAAGAATGGTTGGAATCAATAAATGGAATTAACTTGCATATAATTTGTAATCAAAACTATTGTATTAATCTCTATTAATCTTTGTTTAACAGAGCAGAGTGAAAGGAAGTATGTATTTTTACTGTTTGCCAAGATTCTTATCTCAGCCATCATCCTTGTCATTGCGGGCCTAAATTGTAAGCATCATGGCACAGCAACATTTTAAACTCACACACTAAATATGGATTTAAATATGGATTGTGACAGTAATGAGTACAGTTCATGTAGTTTCACTGAGTATTCATGAATATCACCCCCCTCCCCCAGATTTTCACAACAAAGAAACTCAACCAGCAAAAGGAGAAAAAGGTTAATTTTATTTATTTATCTATTTATACTGGTGAGAAGAAACTAATTTTGTTAACTATTTTTCAGCCTGTGTGAAACATTGAAAAGCTGGATAAACTGTGTGGCACATAGAAACTTACTTCATTATCAGATTATCAACAATTTGTTATATTTCTGTATCTTAAAAGTTCTCATATGTTATTGTTCTTAAAGGGGTCATATGATGTTGCTAAAAAGAACATTATTTTGTGTATTTGGTGTAATGAAATGTGTTTATGCGGTTTAAGGTTAACGCAAATCTTACCACATAGTGACGTAGACATGTGGGGGCGTGTTAGAACGAACCGTTTTAGGTAGGTGTGGTTGACTCTTAACTTTTATAAAGAATATCTCTTTGAATTTGAGACTTTAGTTTTTGCAACTTTACAGATCTTCTTTATGCACCAAGAGCTTGTAACACTCCAAAGAGAAAGGAAAACTTGAAATCGTATCATATGACCCCTTTAAGGCAGCGATAAGTCTTTTGAGCTAAACCACAAAACGGAAGTGTTAAAATGGGTCTGTTGTGGTTTTCCTCTGAAACAGTCCTACAAATGCTTATTAATACAAAGGCATTTTTAATGGTTTCTAGATTATTCAAATATTTATAATTTCTTCAAACTACAAACAAAAACATTTTATGTTTTTTTTAAGCAAAAACACTAAAACAAAAAAAAAAACAATAGTGTCATTGTTCGGCTGAGTACAGTTCAGTGTTAATTTAGTTCAGTTCAATTACTGTGTAAAATCTTCAATTATGAGTTCAATTCAGATGTAAAGTATCATCCAGCTCAGTTCAGTTCTCATCCAATAGTGTCGTTTCAGTCAATTCAGTAATATTACTGAAAATGATGTGTCCCCAACTAAGCAAGCCAAGGCAAGGCAACAATGGCAAGGAACCCAAACAGTGACAGAAATAATATATATATATATATATATATATATTGTGATGAATAACAACAGAACATATCTACTGGATTCTGTTTAACACAAAATTGCAGGGGACAGTGAAGAGACGTGCATGTGGGAACAGGAAGTGTGGTCGAGGGTTTGGTTGTGTGATTGTGTTTAAATGTAAAGAAGTGTGTGAGAAATAAAAAAAAAGAAATACATGTAGAAAAGATATTGAATATAATATACTGTAACTCAGTATAAATTTGAATAAAATATAATTAAATATAACAGAAATATTTAATGAGCAATAAAATTATTATTATTATATGTTTATCATTTCACATTCTGTGAACATCATTTTGATACATTTCTGTAAAAATGTCCTTCTGACTATGTTCTGGTTGTGCCTCAGGATGACGAAGATCATGGCTGTGACATCATGATGACTGATGTTGATACAGATCATGGAGAAGGATTTGTGTGTGAGAGGAGAGTGAATCCCATAGGCACAGCTTGCTTGTCTAAATGTTATGAATTTGGCTTCTTTTTTGTCTTAATCATCATTACTATTGCCACCTTCTTCTCTAGTAGCACTTGTCCTCATAACTCCAGTACTTCAAAGCGATCCAGGCCATGCCATCAATGGCTAGGAATTTTGAATTTGAGCTGTAATATGAATAGCTCCTTGGAACAAAGTTCAGCATCAAGAGAGCAAATATATGTCTTGTCTTTTTTAAAATTATTTTATTATATGTCTTTATTATTATTTTATACATTTATAAAATAATAACATTTATGCTTGAATTCACATTGTTTTTTTGTTTGTTTTGTTTTTTTGCTTCTTTGCTGTTGCTTATCTGTCTGTGCAAGGCAAAACTCATCTCTGTAATTAGACAGAATAACTGTATTGTCTCTAGAAGTTACAGATAAGAAGTTGTCTCCCTTCAAAACTGTTTTATTGTTTAATAAAAACAATAATTTTCCATTGTCTTTTTCTTGTTTTAAGAACACTTGATGAATTGGTTTCAAGGCAAGTGGAATCAGGCAATCTTTGGATATTTAATAAATTCAGATAATTTCTTATGATCACTTGGTTTCCGTTCTCTTGCTCATCCCCTGCATCTGCCTTGACTGACTGAATATTAGACTATATAAAGATCTAAAATGAAAACGTATTACATCAACTAGCTGACTGCTTTAGGCCTATGCAAACACCTTACAGAAGTGATCAAGTCTTAACGTTTCGCATTTCCCGGGTTCTAGCGCCCCCTTCCTGTTATGTTTTGAAGTGTTGAACCGTTTTAACCGTTGTTGCAAGTTACAAAACAACAACAAAACGTAAACCTAACTAGTAACATCACGCTGGTATCCTCACTTTAATTTTGTATCAAAATTATATTATGGCTATAGTGTTTCTATTCTTTGACAGAGCACGTTCACTGATCAGAAAGAGACCAATAGAACAGGCCATTATTCAGGTAGGCTATATCAAAGATATTACTTTATAACGTAGATCTTTGCACTAACTTAAACTGAAAATCATTTGTGGTTTTTATCGTTTCATATTTCATTGCAGTAGAAAGATGTTTCATAAGTAGTTATTGCGGCGTTAAATATCAAACAGTGATTTATAATGAAACGTTTATATACTGGTTACAGTTATTGTTCAGTTTGTATTTCATAAGGTTCACTGAGCATATGTACATTTCTCAAAACAGTTCATGCTTGTGTTACTCCATGTAGGAATGGAAACAGGAGATTCTCTGTCAAGGTGGCTGAACTCTGATGTCTTAATCGTGTTTGTGGTGTTGCTGTTGCTCCTCCTGCTGGTCATCTTTGCTGTCTGTTGGCTCATAAGACGACATCACACACAGAGACCCACAGAGTACTAAAACATACACACACACACACACACACACACACACACACACACAGAGAGAGAGATATGTTTACCATAAACACAATATCAATCCCATGTACATCAAGAGTGCTTGTTCCTGTTCCTGGGGATCTAATCTCCAGCAAAGGTCAGTTAGTCTTGATCCAACACATCTTTTTGTAATTTTGAAGTGTTCTTGAAGATCTTAATTAGTTGGTCCAGATATATTTGCAGGAAGGTACTGTAGTTCTCCAGGAGCAGGATTGAGCATCTCTGCAGCACATTTGGCCTATGCCTTCTCGCTTACATTACCATTGATCCCTCTCTTTTTCTCAAGGAAAATGGCCGAAATAGAGATTATTCCAGTTGATGGCACACACGTGGGGAACCCACCCAGATTTACCCTGAAGATTGTGACTGAGCAGATACATGCAACAGAGCTTGTGGAGATGTTAACTCGTAGAGATTGCTCTATTGAGCTTCCAGACCGCCATAACCCCTCTGTCTCTGCTGTTACAGAAGATGATGGCAATGATCAAGATTACACAGATGCATTACAGAATATATAAATCTTTGTGTAGATTAGAATTTTTTATCACAATATTTAGTTTACTTCAATTACTTAAATTAGAAATACAGAACTATGTACATAAGTAAATTGGTTATTCTTTTTAATCATTATAAAACAAACTTTATAATGACTTTATAATAAAAACAAACATTTATAATAATGAAATGAATAATGCAAGACAGCATTTGAAATATTTATGTCATTTTGTCAGAAAGAAAGTGTACATAAGGGGTTGGACAAAATAATACAAGTAACGCAAGTTACGTAATCAGGTTACGTTTTAAAGTAACCAGAAAAGTAACACATTACTTCTTAATTTAGAAGTAAATATCTGAGTTACTTTTTCAAATATGTAACTCCAGTTACTTTGTTTCCCATGTATTGACTGACGGCTCTTGTGTTGCCATGTTGAGAGAAATTGTAAGTAAGTGCAGAGGCATTGTGCGCTGTGTGAATCTGATGTTACTGTAGTTCTAGACTAAATGTGAACATGCATTTACTCATCTCACCTGCACAAAACAGAATCAGTATTCCTCAAAATGAATAAAAACAGTCAAATGCAAACTCAG